AGACTGTACAGCATCTATTTATTTAGATGATTTATGTGGTAAATGTTGCAAACAAAATTATTAAAATATTAAATATGAGAACTGACATTTACCTCTTGGTCTGTTTGTGTGGTCATTTACCTCTCCTTGCTTTAATTCTACAGCTGAATTATTTTCCACCAGTCACTTCTATTGGTATAAACGTGCAGTGCAGCTGGAAAAAGAATGGAAAATGTGCGTGCATGCGTGAGAAAGATCAGTAAAAAAGGATCGATGAAGAATGGAGCCTGCAAAAGGCTGTTTCTGACATTACTCATTGCTTTGATTGGAGGAGGTCAGGTTTTTATTAATTTTTAACCCACTGGGTATGTTAGAGCTGTACAGAGGTGACCTGGGACGGTTGGTCTTTTGATGGATTATAATTTGAAGAGGAGAATGCCAATGTCAGGGTGACTGCTGCTCTGGGTTTAGGGAGTTCTCAACATCCTTGCACAAGGCTGTGGTGCCAGGACAGCTCTGCTAGCAGCAGGAGAGTGCTGATGTGCCCCGTATCATGTGTTTCTTATGGGAACGGAGAAAGTCTGAGGCAAGACCTGGGCTACCAGGCACGCTCCACACTGATTGCCAGCAGGGAAGCAGCTCTCCTCCATGCCGAAGCCTCTAGTGGGTTGTTCTGCAGGGCTTCCAGGGACCTTTTCAGGAGCACAGCTGCTCCTGGGCAGAGTTTGACCCCTGGTTCACCCCAGGTAATGCAGGGCTTAGCCGAGGAGCCCGTGTACTGGAACTGCTGATACTCCTTGGAGAGAATCCCAAATGCCAGTTAGTCCACTTCAGTGTCTGACTTGCTCCCTCGAGGAGTGTCTCTCTCCATCCTCTGTGGAGGGGCAGGATAAGCTGTTTATGGAGGTACCTCAGCAAGCGAATGGGGCTGCCCGAGATGCCTTTAATAGGCGTAAGGTGGGGGTGAGCCCTGCACCTGAGCACAGCTGTGATGTCAATCCCAAAAACATGCAGAGCAAAAGCAGAGGGGGATGGGATGCATTTCCTGAGTTGGTCATGGCTCAAGGCAGTATGATTAGGTCTTGCCCATGTTACCAAAGCACAGTCAGCATGCTTGCCTCGAGCCAGGGCGGCTGGAGCTGAGTGATGGCATTGGAGCAGGACTCCAGCCAGCCACTTACTCTCTGGCAGCAGCAGCAGTGAGCGAGTCAGGTAAAGTTGGAAGAAACTGCAGTGCAGAGTTACAGGAAAGCCTACTCTGGAGGTTGTGCCTTCCTACCCCTGCCAATGCTGCAGAGGGTGGCTGGCAGTAGAAACTCACAACAGCTTGTCCTTTCGCATGCATGTGTTGGTTGGATTAAAGGTTAATCTGAGCAGAACTTCTATTTTTTAATAATCTGTTGCTATGCCACCCCTCCGATCCATGCAGTGCAGCTGGCTTGCCTTGCACAGCTTTCCCCTTCGGATGCCTCAGAACAAGGCCACTCAGCAAGAGGGGAACCACACGGTTTGGGCAGCTCGGTGTTCTCTGAGAAGCACAGGGTGAAATGCAGTGCATGTGACCCCTGCAATGGCACCTCCTGTCCATTCAGTGCCACACATCTTCCCTGTTCTTGGCCCTTCTCTTTCCAGCGTTTTACTCACCAAGCCACTGTTTTCGAATCAAGAATGCAATAAACCTGGGGGACTTGTGTAATGCAAGCAGCAGCCTGGGCAGCTGGGCCTGCTTTGGGCCCAGGGATATCATAGCACCCCAGCGGTGTAGGCCCAGCTCAAACCCCATTGGCCTTCTCCTCTCTCTGCTACATCAAAAAGTTAGTGGGCTGGAGGGATGGTTGTTCTGACCACTTGGCCCATGCTGAGCCACCTGTACCTGGTGTGTGGGGAGGTACTGGTCAGCTCCGAGGGATCTGCCTTTGCTTGCGTGTATTCCAGAGTTGCAGCAGTGAAATCTCAGCCCATTTTGACCCGGATGACCACAGGGTTGCTGGGTGCGTGCAGCTGTGTCCACTCCTGGGGTAGGTGAGGGAGTGACCGTTTCCGTGCCAAAATCTGCTGCTCCTGACAGTGACCTCCCTGGAGCAAACAGCAGTGGAGTCAGTCGATCGACCCTTGGAGCTGTTCTCATGGAGGTAAGTGCTGCTGTTCCTGACAGGTCCATAGGAAATGAGCCTGGAGGCAGCTGCTGGCTTTGAGCAGGTGAGTTTCCCACTATCAAGTGCCATTTAAAAGATATATAAAAACATTCTTGCACCTGCTGTTCTCTTCGTATGCTCGTATACCGCTGGGCAGTGGTTCTGGTAAGAAAGGTGGTGTTGCTTCCCCAAAGCTTATTGCTTCCCAGTGCTAGCAAGAAGTGCTACAGTGTATCCTACGGCACCAGAGTCTTGCAGACAGCGAGGTGCCAGAAAAATGTTTTATTCGGTGTCTGTAGTGAACAATAGCTTTTCCGGGAGAACCATCTTCCCAGGTGGGTTGTTTTTTTTTTAAAGTGTTTTTCTGGAAATGTGAATGAAACAAAGGAAACACCCAACAATGCCCTGAGCAGCTGGATATTCTGCTACTATTTTGCTTTCTGAGAGTAAAAGTTAGATGAAAGTGTTAGGCAATACCTGTGCAATGGCAGCTTGCAGTGATTTGAGCAGTCGCTGTGGCTGGAAAGAAGGTTCTGCTGATAGGTAGAAGGAGAAAATAACTAGAAAGAGCACATGGAACTCCAAAATGCTGCTGCCCCTTCTGGTCCATGGATCAGGAGTGCCTTGTGCTCCTGCCCCGAGGCAAGGTGTGCTGTTCATGACCCGTGTGTCTGTTGGGGGACAAGACCATCAGTCTTGGCTGCTGTACCTGTGTTTGTGTAGCAGTGTAAAGACTTTTGCCCCTTTTAATTTAGGGGTGGCTGCTTTTTAGAGTGGATGATATTGCTGGTTGAAAGTTCGGTTACTTGACACTCAGTTACAAGTGTAAAAGCAGTCGTTTAAACAAAGTGAACAGTAACAAATACGCTAATTTAAATGTGGATGGTGTTAATGAACACTTAATGTGCAAAGTTAAAAAAGTGAAAAGCAAAACGCAATGGGTGTGATGGACTTGCTCTTTTGAAGTCACCTTCAAGCTATGAAGAATTGAGATTAAAATAAGCGGGGTCTGGGGAAACAGGGCAGTTCAGAAGAACTTGTCCCACTGTAGGTGAGAGTCTCAGGTTTTGTTCTTGCCTGGCCCGTGAAGCCAAATACCTGAGAAAGGGCCTCTTACAGCCTATTCTGGAAGTGAGAGATATGACCTAAATGCAGAATTATCAGTGGTGAAGCATGCTGTGGTTCAGTCCCTGACCACAGAAACACCTCAGTTCTCTGAATTGTTTGCATCTCGTGGACCAGGGTCCATGTGACTGTCCATCTGCTGTCTCTCTCAGTATTCAGCAACCTCTCTGTTCACCCCCTTTCAAATGGGGACACGGTGGTGAGGAGCAGGTCCTCTCTGAATCACTTTTCCTCTAGGCAGGGAGCTTGTGGTGGCTGCAACATTTCAGCTGCTAAGGTGAGAAAGAACAAAACACTCTGACAGATCTTGGCTGAATCGCAAGTAGTGAGGAAAACATTCATTTTCCTACCTGCCTATCTTGACTTTGGGAATTCCATCTCTGCTAGTACTGATGTTATAGCCATAATATAGCCGTTTCTGGAATATCCTCCTCCTGGGTGAAACCCCTGAGCCGGAGGTGGAAAGGGAAGGTGAGTATAAGTGGAGAAAGGATTAGTGAAGGCCACAAGGGCTGTGAGTGCTTACTGGTAGGCCAGCTGAGGAATAGGTAGCAGAGGAATGCCAGTGCTCTGCAGGTACCTGCTGATATCATGGTGGGTTGAAAAAGAGCAGCAAAAGCAAGTTGGCCGTTGCCTATGGCCCTCATCACAGGTCCCACTTTTTCCAGAGGGTCTCTGAAATGCACCCTCTCTTCACCCAAAAAACAGGTGAGAATTAAAGCAGGAGAACAAGCTGTGCCAGGTGGTACCTCCAGGTGAGGGAGGACCCTGAGCTCCACATGACAACAGCTGCAGGGCTGTAAGCTTCCATTTTGAGTCCCAGAGAATGATTTTTGACTGAGTTTTTTGTTTCATTGTCTTTATAGCACCTGCAAGAGAGTGTAAAGCACACTGCAAATTAATTAGGGTTTTGCAGAAACAGTCAGGGCAGGAAATTCCTCTAAGTGACTTAACATTTTTCTGGGTTTTTTTACAGGTTTATGTAGCATGCTTGGCCCATTTACCTTGCAGTACCTTATACTGGCTCAAAAACCGGACCTTATACTGGCACAAAACCTGTACCTTGTGCTGGCACGCCGGCCAAACAGAGAAAAGAAATAAAGATAACGAGGATTTAAGCGCCTTTATTGCTGATTTTTGCCATTGGTAGGTGCCTTGGGGCTGTCTGCTTCCCCGCTGGCGAGAGGGGGGTGACGGTGCATCTGCAGCGGGAGGAGAGGCGGCTGCCGCCATTGTTTTAAGTGAAAAAAAGGCCCCGTTCGGGCGGGAAGGGGCAACGCCGCCGCCACGCTGGGGGTCTGCCCGGGCGGGATTCGCTCCCCACTCCTCCGTTCCCTTCCCCGCTGCGCCGCCGTCCCGCGGGTGCGGGGGCGCGGCCCCTTTAAGGGCCTTTCACCGCGGGCAGTTGGGGGGGTCACGCGCGGCCGCGGCGGGAGGGGGCGCGCGGGCGTGCGCGAGCCAGCGGCGGCGGCACGAGGAGGGCGGGGCCGGCGGGCAGGGGGCGGGGCGGCGCGCGCGGGCGGGCGGGATTATTATGGGCTGTGGGCGCCGCCGCCGCTGAGGGGGAGCAGCAAGATGGAGCTGTCTGCAGTGGGGGAGCGCGTCTTCGCCGCCGAGTCCATCATCAAGCGCCGCATCCGAAAGGTGAGGAGCCGCCCCGAGTGGGGCCACGGGACCCCCTGCCCCGCTCCTCGCTGCTGGGCCGCTCCGCTGGCCCGACCGCCGGCCCCCCGCCTCAACATCTCCCCCCCCCCCCCCATTTTCTCCCCCGTGTGTTGCAGGGGCGCATCGAGTACCTGGTGAAATGGAAAGGCTGGGCCATCAAGTGAGTGCATCCCGCCCGGGCTGCGGGGGTGGGGGGCATTGGCTGGGGCAGAATGTGATGGGGGCGGGGGGGAGGGTGTCCCTGTGTACAGCTCCGGAGGGATTTGGGCGCTAACTCCTTCGCTTGTCCTCCCCGCTGCTCCCACCCCGGCAGGTACAGCACCTGGGAACCCGAGGAGAACATCCTGGACTCCCGCCTCATCGCCGCCTTCGAGCAGAAGTGAGTGCTCATCCCCCACCCCAGGCTGGGGGGGCTGCAGCAGCAGGTTTGGCTTTGGGTGGGCGAGCGGGAAAGAGTGTCCAGGCTCTCCTTGTTTCTTTTTTATCTTTTTTTTTTTCTTTTTCTTTTTTCTTTTTTTAAATCAAACTTGTATACTTCTGTTTCTCCTTTGGGAAAAGTTTTAACTTCTTGACAAATTTGACTCCCTAAAGGGAACGAGAGCGTGAGCTGTACGGGCCCAAGAAGAGAGGACCTAAACCTAAAACTTTTCTGCTGAAGGTAACTCTTATTTAAATAACTTGGGCCTAGCCAAATGTCTCTCAAACCTTTCCGGTGCATGCCCTTGGAAGGACTGGACTTTCAAGTGACTTGTGCCTGATGCCTGGCTCTGGGAGCGCGGGGAAAACCGACAGGAAAGGGGGAGGGTGGGCAGAGGCACAGAAGCGTGTGACGGGAGAGCGAGTGTGCGTGCGACGGGTGCCTCAGCAGGACGATCGGCACACGCAGATGTGCATGGTGAGGCTGCAATCTCTTTTTCCAATATCCTCTCTCTCTCACGGCCTTCTGCTGCCGCAGTGGAGAGCTAGCCAGCCCTGCTCCCTGTTCCTTCAGCAGCCTGTTCCATCCAGCCCATGCTCTGCAACTTAGCAGCACGCTGAGCGGTCAGGCAGCTGAGGCGGGAATCCCGCTGCCACTCCTCTGATTGTGTTTCAGGATGTAGGTGCTCCATAGGAGTTTCATGAAGGGTTCACGTTTTGATCTATAAACTGCAGGCTTGTTTTGCATTTGAGGAGGGCAGAGGGGGGTGGGTGAGGAGGAGGAGGTGGAGTGTTTTACCTCTGCATAGGATGGCAGCTGAAGTTTCCAGTTCTCCTCTTATAGACTTAACATCTCTGCAAGAAGATGTTGTCATAGCATCTCTGCTCCCTTGCAATGAGGAGCAAGGAATATAGTCCCTAGTGCAGGCCCTCCCTGTATTTTTTACTTTCTCTTCTTAAAAGCACCAGTAGCTGTGTGACTGCTATGCGAGCTTTGTGTATTTTTTAGTTTACAGACAAAGCACCTTGCTCTACTCCTCTCTTCCCCCCTTTTCCTCTCCAACTGTCACAATCTCAGACTTCAGATGAGCATAGAAGGAACACAGCCTTGTATAGTTCAGACAGATGAGCAAGTCCACAGCTTCCCTGGTTTCATTCTGCTATAAAGCCCTGGAACAGCCGGTGTGGACCCTGTGGTAAGGCATCGCTATCACCAAGTCATTCTGTGGCTTTGGGCAACTCATTTAGCCTTTGTGTGTGTTTCCCCATCTGTGAAACAGGTTAATACTTTCCTTTGCCTGGCAGCAGTAGGAGCTTTACTCAAGTCAGCGCAGCACTTTTAACTGCATGAGCACTGGAAAGAGGAGTGAGAGGGGTAGGGTGTCACCTCTTCTTTGCTTTGAGAGGATATAATGAAGCACACGGAAGAAATACAGGAACAGGCATATTCTGATGCTCTTCATAAAACCCATGAGACTGTGGTAGTCCTCGGAAAGTCCTGCTGATGGAACTGTCCTTCTCCCTCATTGCCTGTTTTTCTGCTAAGTGTTCTGTGTCTGCAGACTGAGAATTACAAACATATCTGATACGTACTAGCTCTTATGCTATATTCAGGGAAACCAGACTAGTTGGCTTTTCTCTTTCTGGCAGTCATGCATTAAATGTAACCCTTGTGTTTAGATTTCCAACAATGCAGAGGAACACTTAAAGGGAAACCACCAGTTTAAAATAGTTCTCTGCCTGAATTAAAAAATACTGATATTTGTAAGACCTGACACTGTTCAGAGCTGTAGAGAAATGATTATGCTATGTGTAATCAGTTTCTTTTATTTTTGATTCCGAATGTGATATGGCAAAATCCATTGCCATATTACTCATTTAAAAAAAAAAATCAATCATTTTCACTCATCTAAAAACCCAAAACCAACCCCCAAACGCAAAACCCACTCATTGCTTCTCTTTTCTCCCCTTGCTCTTTAAAACCCCCCTAAACTCGGAACCTGAATTATTCAACAGTATCCTTTGAATCACGTTGGTGACACGTTTCTGTGGCACGTCTTCCTTCTGCCAGCTCCTCAAACAGTAATGAAAACCTGTAGGTTTGTGGAGCTGGCTCACTGTTTTGTAGAAGGTGGATCGTGATGGGGGAGCAAGATTAACTCTCGTGAAGGCTGGTGCCACGTTGTGGGAGAGGCTGGCAGGGCAGAGCGCTTCCACTGCCACTTGGTTTGCACCTCTGGGAAACAGAGCTGGCGGAACTGTTAATGCTCTGACTTGCTCTTCCTCTGTGACTTCGGATCCTACCCTAAAAATAACACCCCAGGCCAGGCAGCAAGAAGTAACTCTATCTCAGCCAGCCCTATCTGAACTTGTTTGCGCTCCATTCAGGCAAACCACAATCAACACAGCTGTGGGTAGAATTGTGACAGAGACACTGTGATGATTTGCATCCCTCATCAGTCCTTCTGACCCACTGAAGATGCACGTTTGACCTCTGCCAGCCCCTCAGCACCGGTGCTGATATGGGAGGAGTGGGACTGCCTCACGCATCGCTAACGGTGTTTTCAGTTCTTTCAGCTGCAGAATCTCTCGCCAGTGAGAATTTCGGAAGCGAGGGAAGAAATTTGATTCTTGTATCCCAGAGGGAGTATTTGGAGTTGGCAGTTAGAACAATATTCTTTTTGATCTGTTAACTGAACAGATTAGATCTGGTTGCAATGATTTTTAAGCAGAAGTCTGGCCTAGGACCGCTTTGGTAGAATAATCTGCCCTGAACTTGGTGGCTCGCTAGGATTTTTCATGTGTATCAGTGATTAAACTTAGGCTTCTGAGTCTCTGGGATGGCATCAAAGTAAGTGCCCTGAAATGCCGCTCAGTCCCTTGGGTTGTGTGGGTGTTTTAGCTTGCAGTTGAGGCTCGGTTTATCCTGGGATTAGTTCTCAAAAGTTGCAGATAGGCACCCAGAGGGATTTGCAGAAAGCATTCCAGCAGGTTAGTGGCCCGCGCCTTTGGAAAAGCTTTGAAAAGCTGCATCTTTGGCCACCTGCTGCCTCCGTAAGCCAGGCTCCTGTTTCTAACACTTGCCCTTTCGATCAGACTGCAGAGGCAAATTACAGTCCAGATTTTGTAAGATCACTGTCAAGATGGCCAATGTTGAAAGCAACCCCTGCAAACTTGAACTGCAGAGTTTTGGGCAGGAAGTGGGTCTTTATCCTCTGCATACTAGGGGCAAACTTTCCCACAGCTGAGATCAGGCTCGGCGGGAGGTTGTAATTCTTGGGAGGCTGCTGGTATGCTGCAGCCTTGTGTTGAGCGGTGGGAAGTCGAGTCCTTGGTCTGAAACAGGCAGCACTGTACGTAAGGCTCTTACCTTACTACTTAGGTGTCTGGCAGAAGTCATCCTTGAGGACAGGCCCTTAGGCTGCGGGTCAGAGTGGAAGCTGGTGTGAGGTTAGAAAGAGATACAGCACATGCTGGAGTGATCTTCCTCCTCTTCTTCTCCTGCTCGATTTGCTCTTTTTATTTTGCTTTTCCCTAGGCACTCTGCTGTGCAGAATGCAAAACTCACCAGCTCATCTAATAAAGTCGCGCAAGTGCTGTTCAGAGACAGAGCCTGATCTGCAAGCTCAGTGGGTGGCTGGCAAAGACCCTTAGTTGGGCTGGCCATAAATACTAAGGGGACAAGGGTGGAGAAGGTTAATGGGAAGGAAGAAGTAAGGGAGAACAGAGTAAAGGAGATTCTTAGTGGGAGAGTGGGGGAAGAAGGGGCTGAGCAGCGTGGTGCTCTGTCACTTTGCCCTTTCTTGAACTCTAAAGTTGGAATTGGGTTTCTTTTGATCTCCTCCCTGTTCGTAAATTATCCCCGAGCGGTTTGAAAACAAACCATTCCCCTTTGTAGCATTTTGTTCCCCATCCAGAGGGAAACTTTAGTTTATGGCAGTGTTGCTTGGGAGAACTGTGCTATGAACTGGCTTGCTTTTGCCTTGTCACTTGGAAGACTGCAGAAGAAAGAGGGTGATAAAAAGGCAGAATGGCA